AAAAGATTTGAAAATTCAGATACTAAAATCAAGACACGATAGTAAATTAGCAGGTCATCCTGGTCAAATGCAAACACTAGCGCTCGTCAGGAGAGCCTATAACTGGCCTTCTATGAAAGTGTTCGTGAATAACTATGTCGATGGTTGCCAGTCCTGCCAACGGGTGAAAGGAAGAACGGAAAAACCTTACGGCTTGCTTCAACCACTGTCAATACCTCAAGGCCCGTGGCAAGACATATGTTATGATCTCATCACAGATCTTCCAACATCAAAAGGTTTTGACTCTATACTGACAGTTGTGGATAGATTGACCAAAATGGCCCATTTCATCCCATGTTCAAAGAGCATAGATTCGAATGAACTGGCAAGGATAATGGTCAAGGAAGTGTGGAGGCTTCATGGAACCCCAAGCACCATAACCTCTGATAGGGGCAACATATTCATCTCAAAAATGACGAAAGACTTCAACCAACGACTAGGCATCAAAACACAATTGTCAACAGCGTATCATCCCCAATCTGACAGCCAAACAGAAATTACTAACAAGGCTGTGGAACAAATCATAAGACATTTCACCTCTTATAAACAAGATGATTGGTGTGACTTACTACCATTTGCTGAATTTTTGTATAACAATAATGAGCATTCAGCTATAGGAGTTTCCCCGTTCAAAGCAAATTATGGCTTTGATGTGATGTTTACTGATGTACCATTGACTGAAAGATGCTTACCAGTGGTAGAAGACCAAATCATGAACATTAAAGAAGTACAACAAGAATTGAAGGATGCGATGTCATTGACTCAAGAAGAAATGAAGAAACAGCATGAGAGAAAATCACGAACTACACCAAATTGGAAGGCGGGGGATAAAGTGTGGTTGAATGGTAAAAACATGTCAACAACTAGACCTACAGCTAATTTTTCACACCACTGGCTAGGACCTTTCTCAATTTAAGCTAGAGTATCAAAGAATGCTTACCGTGTCATATTTATACCTAAGTCAATGAATAGAATTCACCTGGTGTTTCACGTCAACCTCTTGAGAAAACTTGAGGGCGGCAAAATAGAAGGTCAAGACAAAACAGCCCCTCCGCCGATAATTATAGAAGAGAATGAAGAATTCGAAATTAATGAAATATTAGACCAAAGAAAAAGAGGCAAAGAAATTGAATATCTTATTAGCTGGAGAGGGTACGGCCCAGAACACAACTCATGGGAACCAGAAGAAGGTCTTCAAAATGCAAAAGAATCAATGAAAGAATTTAACAACAAATATCCAGATTCAGAGCTTAGATATTCAAGGACAAGGAGAAAGAAGTGAGGGTATGGCTTTTTCCCCATGTGGGTTTTTTAACGCCACCCGTGGAAAGATGCTGATCTGCAAGAGGAGGTTGAGACATAATAGGGGAGGGGTGTTACAATCCCATATCAGTATCACTTGTACTTACACATATGTGACATGTGCGTCGAGCATAGCCCAGATGCTTGTGAGCAGCAGGCGTTGTCCTCACTTAGCAATCTTATCATAGTATCAGAATACCCTTGCCTTGTCTTGCATCTCATAGCACTACTCGGATCCTTACAGGTTTAAGGTTGAGTGGGATCTCTAACAAAACCTCATTGTTCCACGTCTTTTCTCCTGCTATCCCTCTTGACAGATCTTCTGCCAAATTACTCTCAGATGTAACACATTGCTGCTTGATGTTACAACCTAAACTTGTAAGTAGTCTTTGAATCTCCTTCCATTCCGCATTCACCCGTATGTCTTTAGACTTCCTATTCCTGACTGCACATTCAGCAGTCGTTTTGTCTGTATCAACCCAAAAGGTTTGACCCCTTACCGGAATTGACTTGGCTAAAACAAGGAGGCCAAGACGGATGGTTGCCATCTTTGCTCAGGCAATGTTCCTCAAGCCCGTCGTCAGACCCTTCACTGACCAGTCTTCTTCCCACTTGAAACAAGCCCATTGGTCCCCTATGATGACTCTGATACTATTCAAAGGAAATTTTGGTTGTGTGGTGACAAAAAAGAAAACAACTCCATTAGTCTATTGACCTCTTGCTACTTCTCCAATAGGCTCACCTGTACAACAACGAGGCATTGCCCACCCACCCCACCTCCTCCAGCACCCAACTAGTCACTAGCCACCTTGACTCAAAAATCTCTAGGCAAGATCTCCACTCTGTCAGATCTTTGACAACGTCCGCTGGAGTGTACCTCTTTGCCTCCAGGTTAACCCACTCTTTCAGCCAGAAATAGATCAAACACAAATATGCTGCTGTGTGCGGGACTATACACACCATATGTCCCAGGCCACCCACAAATCTTTCTACCTGAGTGAAATTCCAGTCCAGTGAAGGTTTCAAGAATCCCAAGATCTGCTTCAGCCTTTGATCCACCTTCTGTTGAGGCAACTAAACTGTATGATCCTTCCTGTATCAAATGAAACCAAGGAATTTTTGCTTGGAAGCAGAATCATGGTTCTTTTCCGCATTCCTTTTTACTCCAAGAGAATTGCTCAGGTCTGTAACATCTTTCATAGATATCTTATCTCCTGTTCTCATAAGAATGAGGCCATCGTCAACCCACCTAAATATCATCAGAATAATTAGGATGCTCATCATCAGTTTCTTCCATGTTTCTGCTGGGCCACCAAAAACTCCACAGCTTGCTACTCCACCAAACCCAATCAACAGATCAATCCATACCTGACCTTCAAAATCCATGATGCATAGGTATCTCCTTTGCAACGGGTGAGTGTGGAGTTGTTGGTAAGCCTTTTCCCAATCAAAAAGTGCTTCTTCACACCCCCCTGGATTTTCACTGAAGAATTTCACCACTAACTTGAAATCATCCCAGTTTGTGCTATAGTTACGCTTGTCAACAAATTAATTCACTGAAGGATTCATTGGTTTCTTTCCTTTTACATTGTCCTTTTTCCCTTTTCTCCTCCTTGCCAGCTTCTCCTTGGGGAAGTAGAGGTCATTTATAAGCCTCACAAACCCGCCGCCGTTCACTACGCTGCCCATCAGGTTGGTCCTGAAGAAGCCAAATTTGTCATACACCTGTTCGTGAATGAATGGCCCAACTATTCTGCTGGCCTTCACTTCTTTCCGTAAAGTGTTAACAATTTTCTCCTTGACATATAGAGCTGAGCCATGGTTTGGGCTTGAGATCTATCATTCACCAGGAATCTCATGTTGGGGTATCCCCAGAAAAAACCTGTTGTAGAACTCCCACGCAGTGTAGCATAGGCTTAGCCTGAGAGGGTAAGAATCACCATTCAGGAGAGCACATGAAACTACGGTGCAGTTACGCTGCCTTCAACCTTAAATTTATTGCAGTTCAAAGAAGAACTAGAGCAATCCTAAACAAATTCTGTCTCTACAAATATTTCCTGTAACATTTTCTAAAGTTTATAACCAGCTCCACAAGGTTTGCTGGATTCCAATAGTACCCCACACAACTCTACACGCGGTTGTGAAAAAAAGTTGTTGTGAATTTTGAGTTTTTTGCAATTTTATGGTGATGTGTAATAAATTACACACAGGTCTGGTCTATGTAGCCCAGGACCTGTTCAACCCGGCCTTGACTTGAATCAAGAGGCAGGTTTGATGACTTTGACGTAGTCCTGACTTTGACGGCCTCAACCGAATCACAACAATATGCAAACACAATGGGTTCTCAAAACGAGGTAAGGCTTTCTACAAACTTTTCACTTCTTATGCTGAAGATCAATTAACTCACAAACTTGATGCTTTCTTTTCCTTTAACTTTCTTATCTAGATCACTTGATGACACATTTAAATTATCACACAAACTTCAAACAACACAACAATCCACACTTTTTTCTAACACACAATTCTTTGATGGTTCCCTCCTTCCCTACTGATTGTGACCTCCTTTTATACCTTTTCAATTCCACCCACAACTCAGCCCTCAGCTCCTTTCTATCACACCATTGCTTGGACCCGTTATCACTTGTCCTACCTCAACTTGATCCCTTCTCAATCCGCTTATTCAATTTTATGAAAGTTTTTTACGTAAATCTCCTTCTTGCCTTGCCAAGCCCCCTTTGTTACATATTTAACTTGATCATTGCTTTGAACATTCTGCTCCAACTTTGATTCAATTTGGACTTGAGTTCTGATTAATTTTAACTTTTTTTTATCTATTGTAAGTTCCCCCTTTTTTTACCTACTTGTATATCTTCCAACTGATTCTTCCTTTTCTTTCTTTGTTCTTAGTCTAGATTTAAAAATCGATCCCTCCTTTGCTTCTCACACACTTCCAATTGTAGTGCTTTGACTTTGACTTTGCTTAGCTGTTTTTAATCAATGTTATTTTTGTTATGTTTCCTTCCCAAATTGTGACTTGTTCTTGTGATGTAGGTGATGGGGAAAATAAGTAACAGTTGAAAAAATCTCCTTGATTTTGACTTTTGATCCGCTTAGATCTTTTAGCTTCCTCTAATCAAGTTGCTTCCCTTTTGATTTGTTTCTGTCTTTTGTTTCTTTAGTTTTAATTTGTAATCTTTATATATTGTGTAGGCTGTTTTTGAACTACTCAACTGTGTCTTAGTCAAATAAAAAAATAAAAAAATACAATCCCTTTTTGAAAAACTCATCCGTCTTGAAGTGAGGTTTGTTTGACCCATCCTTGAGAATCTTGTGGATTTTTCAAATAAAAAGTAAAAAATAAAATAAAACTTGAGATGTTTGCTAGTATAAGCATGGGCACCAAGGCTGCGTCTATGAGGGAACTGATGTGTATAAAAGACATGGGGTTGAGGTGTGTTTTGCTTCCCACACTGTCCCAGAATCCCTCTACAATATATGGTATATCATCATCCAACAGCCTTCTTTCATCAGCCTTTCCCATTGGTCAATCTTCATCTCCGCTTCACTGGGGCTGGCCAATTGTCTTTCACCTTACCTTGTAAGTTTCCCTTTGGCTGAGTGGGAAGATGCATTTGTTCTTATGTGTATCTGTCCTATTGTCATGACATCTCAGACAAATTTACTTTTCTTCTCAACAATGGTTTGCTTGTACTTTCCTCAAAGACAAGTACGTCCTCTGGAGTCTTGATAGGTAATTGCACAGAGGTTAAACTTTTGTTGACCAGCCTAAAAGGTGAAATACAATTTCAGGATCAAGGCTTCTCTAGATAACCCTAACTGTACAAACTTGATTGGATTTTTTTCATAATCAAAGGAAGCCCATACCCAAGTCCACCCATCACATAATCCCGCCAGTCCAACCCACCAACATCACCATTCCCACCACATCACAAACCAAGTCCATGACAATACGTCAGACTTATTCTCACACATAGCCAGCCTTGTTACCACTTACCTTTCTACATTGCCAGAACCTTTTGGGCCTTTCTTTGCAGGGCCACCAGACCCCAATGCTACACTATTTGTGTGTTGCTGCCCTCTGGCTACCCATTCCTTACTCCCACCTGCTTCCTTCCTTTGGGTCGAGTTGGTATTTGACAGGTTTTGGGGGTAAAAGGTTTTTGAAAAATTGGATCTCCCCCTATTACCTCGGCGCGGTTTCTTGGCCTGTGTCCAATTTTGCTTGGAGCTGCCATTATCCAACGAGTCATCTGAGTAAGTTCTGGACTTTGCTTTTGAACTTGGAATCTCCACCTCCTGCCCCGTCATGAAGTCAAATCCCAACTTTGGCTGACCCACTGCATACGGGTTGCCCTTGCATTTCAGATCACCAGCCGTCTGAGCATCCCAACAAATGTTGTCTCCTGCTTCCTTCTGAAGTCCATCCGGAAGAATGACTGTGTCAACTTTCTTCTGTGTCCTGCTTGCTGAACAATCCGTACAGACTACAAAGGTGACCGCTTGCACCGCAAGATGGTATTGTAACCCAACCATCCAGTACTTGTGCTTACAAGCTAACTTGCTGACAATGGCTTTGTGACTTTCAACATACAAAGCATAATCATGGTACATGTACCGCTCTGTTGCATAACAAAATTCCAGGTCACAGGCGAGTATAAGCTCTCTGTACGTCATTTGACGTTCCAGCTCCTCCCTGGACTGCATGTGGCTGTCCCACTTCATCTTCCTGAATTTCATCTTGCACGTTGCCCAATAAGCATCAATGTTAGAAGCATTGAACACCGTCAGAGGAACATAGTATTTCATGCGGCGGAAATTCTTTTCCCACTGGATGGGGAGATTGGGAAGATCAAACCCAGAGATTGACTTGAAAGCCAATGCTAGTGGCTTCTGTTTATCTCCTTTCCTCTTAGTAGCCATCAAAGACACAGACGCGTCAAAAGAGTCGCCATCAGAAGAGGAAGAAGCGTGACCGTAATCTTGATTGTCCGATCCTTCAGGATCAGCTGAGGAAGAAGATCAGGAGTCATCCTCTGAAGATGAGTGTGAGCCTTTCCATTTCCCACTTGATCTTTTCTTCTTCACTTCCTTTCCCTTCCCCTTTCTTCTTCTCTTCCTATCATCCTTTCCCGCGAGCTTCTTCCCTTTACCCTTCTTATCCTTCCCACCTTCTAACTTATCCATCTCCAACTGCAACACATCTAGTTCTTTACGTAGCTTCTTCACATCTTTGTTCTTTCCCTACTGCACCACATCAACTAGGCAATCCATCAATGATGACGGGGCCTGAGCGCCTGGGAGGTGTGGTTCCTCTTGAACAGACTCATCAGGTCCCCCGGGTTCCCTATCACAGCAACATAGAGCCACATCAGCTTATGAATCTCCCACACCTACAACAATTCTGGAGCTAATTCTCCTTGCTGCTACAACAGGAATTGGACCAAAGTCCCCTGCAGCTACTCCTCATCACTTATAAACCAAGGCCAGAAGACTCCAGCTCAACCCTTCAGGTTTGCCTCCCTTGGAGGGTGCACTACGCTACTACAAGGCTTGTCCACGTGGTACATCATGGAATTGTAAGACTCACACTGATCTTTCTCAATCAAGAGACCACCTAACCTCCTCCTCTCTATCTCTTCCACGTTTGCACCATCCTCTCCCTCTGACGCCTTGCTGGACAAAATCCTCTGTTTCTTGCCTTTCTCTAAACCCTTAACCGGGGCTCACGGGCAAACGGGTTCTTGCTGAGGGTGAATAGGCGCCTGTTCATACCAAAAGGAGTCGGAACTTGCCAAACTTGAGCCGTCATCAACCGGCGCTTTGACCAAACCGGATTTGCCTTCCACTTCTCCACCGCTTGCTTCCTCCAGATTCCTTCCAGACCCTTTCTCCAAGTCAATTCCCGACGCTACATTCAAATCTGTTGCTGTAATCTGATGAGGCTCCTGAGCCAACGATGGAGCAAGTTCTGACTGAGGGGCTCTTGACTCCGCTCTCTTCCTTCTTTTCTCTGCTTGTTCCAACGCTTTGGCTACCTCCGCCTTGTTCTTCTCTTCTGCCAGCTTGGTAGCTTGTAACATGCTTGGTGATTTGTAATTTATGTTGTTTTCTTTAGTTTCAATCTTTGCCACATCCATGTTATGGTTTGGGTGATTGAATGATAAATTGACAGAGAATTTTTAAGCGAAAAGATCTCCAGAAGGGGTGTTGCTAGATCTTGAGAGTGCGGATGACAGATGAGTAAAAAAACTCTGATTATCTCAGAACCACCACTCTGAACCGAAGGCCCATTACATGTGCTTCAGAGCTGTCACACATAGGTTCCGTCCTCTATCCGCATGTCACAGCCCCCAGCTACTAGGCTCTGGCAGGCCAGAGATTACCACGGCTTCATGAAAGATTCATGAAAGATTCAGAAAGATTTCAAAATGACTTCAACATAATATCATATGAGGCCATTTGCCTGTCTGACCACCAAAATTCCAATGTCATCATATGACGTCATAAATCTGTAGACACCTGCTCCTGTATTCACAGATCAAGAATATATAGTCTATTAAACTTTATCATGTAAGTTGACTGAGTTATTGAGGTTTGAAAAAAAATCACGGATAAAAAATACTATTTTTGTAATGTACATAAAACTGGGATCTTGGATATCTTAAATCTTTATCAACATGCATATAAAATAAATTTTATATTCCACTGTACAATACATGTTTCTTCCCCTTTTATTTTTGCAGCCTTTGTCCAAAAGGCATATTTCTATATGAGCAGTCCAATCTTTCCCTGATTTGTTGATTCTAGGAAGGATATAAATAAATTGATGGCAGAAACTCTTGGAAATTATTATTGACATGCATATCAGGCTATTTATGCCTAATTTGGGCCCTACATTTCATCACAATTTGCCTCAAGGTCAAAGAACTTCAGAAAATCCAACTTCTGTATATAATCCACAATTACATATAAAAATACTACCCATAGACAAAGGCTGTAGGGAACAGAAATGTGGAGAAACGTAGTGCGGAAAATATTATCAGATTTAATGTATATGTATATTGACAAAGATTGAACATATTCAAGATCCAAGTCTTATGTACACGTAGTGACGTAAAAGCTACGGTTTTCATTTATAAATTTGGGTTTTGTGGGTTTTCAATTTTTTCTGTTGACCCATCTTGTGGTCAAACACATAATCCATAACTTCTCAAATTTCCGATATGAAGCCCTTAGGATCTGATATCAAAAACCGGATGGTTGGAATGCACCTAGCAAAGATGAGGAACATTGATATCAGCAATGCCCTTGGGTGTCCAGTCACAACGGTCCAATCTGTCATTGCTAGATTCAAGATCAAAGGTTCAGTTGAGCATCAAAAACCTACAGGTCAACCATCTCTGTTGACCAATCGTGATCTCCGACATCTTGAGCGTAATGTCAAAAAAAACTCGCCGAGCTCCCATGCGTGAGTTGGTCCAGGAATCGGCAACAAAAGCTAGTGCTACTACAATCCGGCTGGCTCTGAAATCACTCGGTTACTACTCAAGAGTGGCAATACTCAAACCATACTTGAATGCTAAACATAAAGCTGCCCGTCTCGAGTTTGCAAAAAATCATGTGGCATGGACAGTGGATTATTGGAACCGAGTCATCCGGACGGATGAATCAACCTTTGAGATTGGGAAGCCTTATTGCAAAGTTCGGTTTTGGCAAAAAGTGACAGAAAAGTACGAAGCATCCTGCTTGGCACCATCTTTCAAATCAGGGCGTAGTTCAGTGAGGGTCTGGGGTAGTTTCATTCCTGGACACAAGCTCAAGCTCGTCATCATGGAGCCCGGTTGTCAAAATTCAGAAAACTTCATTGAGCAAGTGTACAAAAAATCACTCGCCCTTTCTTACACGACTCTTCCAATGCCGACAATCTGATTTTGATGGAGGATGGAGCCCCAGTCCACCGCTCTCAACTGTCTTCCAAATGGTGTGAGAAAGAAGGGATAGTGAAGTTAAAATGGCCAGCGCATTCACCCGATCTGAACCCGATTGAGAATCTTTGGTCCATCATGAAATCCAATATCTCAACTAAGCATCCAATCAAGGATCTGGATTCCATGAAGGCCAATGTGTCGGAATCATGGGAGAGTGTACCTACTGAAAAATTGGAACATCTAGCTGCCTTGATGCCCAAGCAAATTCAAGCTGTCATCACCGCCAAGGGCGGATCCACCCATTGGTGATTGACTAAGTAAATATTTTGAACTCTTTACCGTGGGTCTCACTCTCTACATCATCAATTAGGCAGCATGTTGACGCTTCATGCTGCCCATTTTCATTAGGTATGATATATGTACATTAAAACTTATGTTGAGATTTGTGAAACAAAAATTGACTTTTTTTGGAAAGATAATAAAAAAACCGTAGCTTTTCCGTGACTACGTGTACCGTGCAAAAACAGTACTTTTTATCCGTGATTTTTTCCCATGGGAAAATTTAATAGACTATATATTCTTGATCGGTGAATACAGGAGCAGGTGTGTACAGATTTATGACGTCATACGATGACATTGGAATTTTGGTGTTCAGACAGGCAAATGGCCCCATATACGGTGGCTCTAAAGTGCCACCTGAGTCACATTGTCAAAATTGAGAAAATTGACCTTCCAGACCCGAAATATGCCCCGGTGAGCAGGTGCCAACCATGGACAATGTCCAGACCCGTGGCAATCCTCAATCTCATCAAGGACCCAGGAATTTTATCAGGATGTTCTCTTCTCAATATTCAACATTTTCATAAGAGTTGAGAGAGGAAAACAAGAAAGCAAGTAATCATCTGAACATCTTGTTCAAATAAGTCGGACATCAAAAAAAGAATATGTGATCACTTGATTTTTAGCCAGACATCCAGCAAAGTATGTCTTGATCCATCATTTCCAAGTAACAGATGCTATGTCTACGTGAACTGAAAGAGATGTAGTACCTTCAAGTTCTAGGAAGACAAGCAGTCATAAAGAGAAAGATAAGGGAAATACCTGCAATAAAATTGTCAAAGGAAATAAATTATAGCATGTTTTTATCACTCCTCTAGGGCTTCATTATTGTCTAGATTTTAGAGTTCATCGTAATTGAACAAGTCTAACCATTGTTTTCTTTACTCCGCTGAAGTCAAGGATGAAAAGTCGGTGATGAGAAGGCAGGGGTGAATCTGATGAGTTGGCTAAACAGGGTTCACCAGGGTCGGCACTTGGTCAACGGACCTTTTTTTGGGGGTGCCAAAGGTCAATTTTCTCAATTTTGACAACCTGACTCAAGTGGCACTTTAGAGCCACCGTACCCATATGATATTATGTTGAAGTCATTTTGAAATCTTTCTGAATCTTTCATGAATCTTTCATGGAGTCAGTGGTAGGCTCTGGCCTGCCAGAGCCTAGTAGATGGGGGCTGTGCCTCTAGCTTTCAAACCTCACGGAAATGGAATTCTGTGTACCTCTGCAAGCTTAGGGAACATGGTCAATATTTCTGCACCGGAGACCCCATCAGATTGTGGTCATTTTCCTTATCATCAATTGGTCTACACTGTTCTAAATTGGAATTTCCTTTCAACTTAATGAAGTACCTTGTCACTCTGGGGAATAAAAGCATCAGATTGGTATATTTAATTTCAATGATATCTCAAAATCAAATCATTCAAGAGAACACACTTCAACACAGCTGGATATTTGTAGACAAAGTTCATTGGAAGTGACTGTGCATCCAGGTTGCAGATCTTCATTATATTCAAATGGAACCAAGGCAACATAGATCAAAAGAGTTAAGAAAAGATTGAAGTTGAACAATGATATCAAAATTAAAAAAAGAACACGCAGGGACGAACTCTTTGTAGGGACATCTTGATTTGAATTGATTTCAACAAGTTCAAACCAAACTCAAATAAATCTTGATTGTCATCTTGCAAAGCCATAGAAGCTTGACTGCTCTTCAAACTCTGATCTTCAATCATCTGACCAAAGATTAAATTAAAATGTGGAGATTGTAAGGTGGAGTGTAAATCTCCACCTTCACTGAGTTTGAATCTAGGCACAAGCTCACAAGGAGCAGGGATCATTCTAATCACCTTGTATACTAATTGTGGATGGTACGTAGTATTATCAGAGTGGAATCTGGGGAAAGGCAACGGTCACAAGAGAAGGTTGTTGAAGAGTGTGCTCTCAAAAGAGGTGCATTAAAATTGGCACTGCAACATCTACCCCAACGGGCAATGCGTGTCAAACCTAATTCTTCTCCTCTCACTTTACTTTGTTTCACTATCTTTATCTTTCCAGGTTGTCCCAGAAAATCTTTTGTTTCCAGTTTACTTCATTCCATCCTTTTGGATAAACAAATTGTAGCCTTATACATAGAAAAAACTTTTTATACAGTTTTCTAAATTCTATCTTTCTCACTGACTCTGAAGATTTCTTGTGGTTTGACACTTCAGCCCACTTCTTACTTTTGTGAAATTGAACAACTCAACAATTTGAGGTCAGTATTTGGGAGAATCAATACCCTGCTTATCGACTATGACAAAGCAGGGGTAGCAATGCAATCAGCATGTGTACCCTGCGCAACCAATTCACCAAAATCATTCCGCCAAGAGATGATAATCTCAAAGATTTTACTTACAGCCGGTTCTAAAAATCTTGGACCATTGATTTTTGTTTTTGTTGTTTTGCTTTTTTGCTTTTGTTTTTGTAGATGAGCAAAAAGTGTTAAAAAACTCTTTTATAGGCTGCTCTTTTGAGTATCAACTATGTTCTATCAGTACACGGTGATTCTGGAAGAAAAAAACAATTTTTTATAAGTACATATGGATTGAATTTTGAAGCTCCACATTTTGCCAAATGTGGAGCTTCAATACAGCGTCACCATAGCAGTCACAGCTGTGACATGGCAGGCGCACCACCTGTCGACAATTGGTGACATACACTGAGCTACCAAATGGATGGAATCCATATTGGTAATTCACATCCAACCAGATTTCATATTTCCAACGGTTTATGTCAAGTACTCGGCCAACATCAAGGTTATTGCGGTACACCTCAAGCTTCAAGGCAATGATCTTCAATCAATCAATGAACGGCTCGATATCAAAATCTCGCGT